CGCGGCACCACCGACCCTTCGAATCCGTGTTTCGAGACGAATTCCCGTTGCCCAACTCTGGGGCCTGGCTTTGCTCCACTCTGCTCGTGAGCATCGCGCGGGCCGGTGCCTGCCGAACTGTCTGCGCAACCCTTCTTGCAGGGCGCGCCGCGTATCTGATTATGGGGCTGCGGGTGGTCGCCGGGAAAGGAACTCGTGACGGCGTAGGTTTTGGTGAAACCCTTCCCTCAACAGGCTTTGAATCCGCGCCCTCTTCTCACTTAGCCGAGCCCCTGATTCCGTGATTCCGGCTGCCCATTGGCTGCTAACCTCCTAAATCCGAAACGCCTAGTCCTGGAGTTCCTGAAACCGCCTGCCGGCAGCACGCCGACTCTTCCAGGGAGGACCCGGCGCTCCACATCATTTTTGCGATGCACCCATTCTTCATCTGCACGCGCAGCTTCGCCCTTCGTCAAAGTGAATGCTGCCAGTTCCATTTTCACACCCGTGCAGCGAAGCCCAATTTGCGCCCGAGGCCTCTTGCTGGGCATGTTCCCCCCTCCAAAATGCGGTGGGAACGGAGACGTTAAAACGCACGGCCTAGACATATTCCGCCGCGTCCAGGGCCGAATTTGGAGCAAAAAAAAAGCCGGAAACCCAGGGCGTTCCCTCTCTTCGACCGGCACCTGGCCTCCCTTTTCGCGGGGCGCCGAACTCTGGCGCCGCAACGGGGAGGCTCACGACCTTGCCCGGGACACACCTACACGTCGGAAACTTTCTTTTTTTAGCGCCCATAGGTTGCAAGCAACGCCGGTTCCGGAGCTTGGGCGCTGCACTAGCAGTCTTGCCTCGCCGGGGTGAAGCTCCGGCCGGAAGCACACACCTAGCCCCCCTTGTGCGCCTGAAAAAAAAATTATAAAGGGAAAAACAGCAACAACACCGAGTTCCTGCGTTAAAAAAAATAGCCCCGCGCTGGCCCCGCGAGGCGCTCTCCCCCCACAGCAACCTTCCAGAGAGTTTCCGGCAAACGCAGCTGCCGCAAATGGTGCGCGGCACTGCCGGCTCCCCTTTTCCCATATTTGCTGAACCTTTACACCCGGCGGGAGAACATCCCAGAAAATAAACGTGCTCAATGGATTACCAGTATTTCTTTATATCTACAAAACAACAACAAAATTCTTCACGCTATCACTCCTGCCCCTACAACACAAAACAAAAAAAAATATCAGAGCCGTATTAGGAAGGAAACAGGTAAGCCAATCCTTAAAGAATGCCTCTCGTCTTGGCATAAGCGGTTCTTCCATCCTTACCCTACCCCCACTCCCTCCCTAGAGAAATTTACAACAAACGGCCAATGAGTTAGTCAACAAGGCCAACGACAACACT